ATTCTAAAGATAATTCTTTCAAACAAAGATTAACATTTAGAAAACAGACCAGCCTTTCAGAACAAAAATGTCACCTGTTAACTGTGAGCAAAGTCAAATAAATGTACCATTTAAACCGTCGCTTTTAGACTGGCTCTTCACTACCGTTTCACCGCTTGGTGTAGATGTATTTGTAAAACAACTTTGTTTTGGTTGTCAATAGCTATCCGAAAGAAAGAAAAGAAAACCCTTTGCCTGCTACAAGCCTGCATTGGCAGCCACATGGTCAAGTCGATTTCCGCACAGCAGGCAACGGCAGAATAGCTTTTATTCTGGTCATTTCTCTTGGTCTGTTTTTCGTTGGGCAAATATTCAAAATGTGAATAACTTGTGCTGCTTGGATAAGTTTAATGATTTGATTCGTCCCTTTAGAACGAGTTTTGTTGCCACAGCGATGCGATAGGCTATTATTATTAGCCTACAGAATAATTTTAAAATTATTATAGGCCTATTATTATAACGACTAGTGTTGACAATAGGTGCTATTTTAATAAACCTTAACGTGGCGTCTTTGGACTACAAAGAACGAAAATTTCTAATTGTACAGGCTTGTTCTTTTCTTTCCGCTGCGGAATTTGTGACAAGGTCATGTGTTATATAAACGGGACTTTGTTATGTTTTCCCAACTAACCTCAAATGTGAATGTCTTTATCAAAATAGAAGTCGACTAAAGTAGTCTACTACTATTGAGTAAACAGGTAAGAAAGCGAGCTGTGGAGGAAAAAGCCGATGCCGAGAAAGAGACGAAACGGTGCGGGTGATGATAAGTGAAGGTAGAATTTACCACATAAAACAATGTGTTCGGATATGAAACTCATATTTTACCAACTGTGCTGTGAGCTATAGCCTACAAGAGTTGCGTGAACATAAATGATAAATTACTGGCGATTTCTCGACGTGTTTGAGTAAGAACAGAAGCATAAGTGACAGCTCTTAAAAATTAGGCTTGCAAACGTATCGTCATTGCACGTGCTATTGGCGCCCCCGCTCGGGCGGGAACCTTTGGAGAATTTTCTCTTAAAGGGGAGGACAGGAGGATTTAAGGTGGAATGAACAAATCACACCCAGCGACCCTGACTCCCGTCAAACTAATTAAATAATGAATATTGGGCTAATTTCTCCAAAAGGGGATTAGCTTGATTTTTGATGATGATAAAAAATTGGGTTATCTAAAATTGTGAAGTAGCCTATTGCTTCATCGTTAAGGTAAAGTTGGGACAACAAAGTTTTTACTTTTTAATGTTTTGTTATAGGCCTTATAAAACATGATCAAATTAAATATGATAATAAAAAAAAGAAGAAGAAAATGTTTCTGAGGTACATGATTGTAAATGTTATAGGCTCACTTGCTCTGTAGTGATAAAATGAGGAGATAAAAGTGCTGGAGGAAAAAAGAAAGAAAAAATGAAGTCATCTTTTGCAAACGGTGGTTTGTTTTTCAGCGCATAATTCCAAATTAAAGACTATAGGCCTAGTGTGTTAAATTGTAAGTAAACTCAAAGACCAATTCTTTAATAGGCTACTAATAGTATGCGCGGTTCTATAGGCTACTTGAAAACGCAAAACAAATAAGAGTGATGCATGCACGGTGAATTTCCGATTGTATAGGCTATAGCAATACAATAGAAATAGAGTTCTACAGAGCAATGTTAATTGAGAATGAAATCAGAATAGCCTAGCCTATCTGATCTTTGATATTTCTCTGTGGGCCATTCATCCAAATGTTGGTAGCCTAGCTCTGTCAGTCCAAGTCTACAGTTAAAGATGATGCCGCAAGTCTTTGCAGACGAGGAGGAAGAAGACAAAACAAGAAGGAAAAAATAAATAACAAGTAGGCCTAATATACTAAATAAAGCCATAAATGAGCGCCCTGGCTTTTTATTTACGCAAGCTTTATATGTCAAGTATTATAACATGACTTTGGGCGTTTGGGGAACAGGCCTCAAAATGAAAGGTAACAGGGGTACGGGCGGGGGGACTGTGTCCTGAACGGCCGGGTATTTAGAACTTAGAAGAACTTATCTATAAGAAACGAGTTAAACTGTCTGTGACTTTTGACCTTGACCCTTAAAAATGAATTTTACGTTCTCAAATCCCAATTTAGTCTATTATTTAGGCTATTTAAGTAGCCTATTATAAGCATTTCCCGTAGGCTATCATAAGTGGTTGTTGCTGGTGCTGAATTTGTGACTTTCCCTGTGGGGGAGATGAGCAAACTCTTTAGAATCTACACAATCAGTTGTAGTATTCTTAAACACATTGGTTCACATCGTTAACCTCCGAGAGTGTTCGTGGGCACACACACACACATATATATATATATATTTAATGTTCAATGTTGTTGTAGCCTACATTAAATCAGTTCAGCTGAGCTGTCTGTGCGCTTATTGTATTCGCTGAGGTTGGCGTGACCATTCCAGATTTCTTCATTTAACATTTATATAATGTTTAACAAGCTTAGAAGACAATTTATTATAGACGAACGAATTGGTAAAAGATGAGCACTCAGCCCAAGTCATTGCAACAGGCCTGTGCGTAAAAATGGATATATGGCGACTTGAAAGCAAATACGGATAGGATGTAAGACGCCATTTATTGTTTTTAGCGAATAAAGGATATGAACGATAAACATCACCCTTTTCAACATGCTGGACTGTCTTAAGCTCGTGAAATACGTCCGTTTCCAAATTTTACGCCAATGTTTTTGTTGAAAGATGCAATCTCAGTGTTTCTTCAGCTAGAAGGTTAACAAAAGTAGCCTACGACTACGATCCCGCGCAGCCTCTTATTCGCGTATAAATTAAGCCATGTAGGCCTACTCCGAAATTTAATAATAATAGTACTCTGATCACACACACACCATAACATATTAATTGATAGTTATTCTAATTGCGCTTTTTTGTACTTTCTCTTCAATTGCGTTTAGCTTATGTTTGATCTGTTCCATGTTCTCCGGTATTTTAAAAAGCGTTTTACATTTAAGCAATTGGCTACTCATTTATTTACAGAGTAAACTGTACAATTGCATGCATTTTAATTATCAAGCTTTCATAAAATGAGTTAATTCTCTGCGTGACTCTTATTAACGCAATTTAAATGAGCAGAAAACATGAAGAGACGTTGCACCATAAATTGCAGACAAAGTGCTTTATTGTTTTGAGCAATGCTTATGGAATGGAGTGTATATCGGTTTACATCATAACACATGAGACAGCCTCCCCTTTGGTTGCCCTCAACAACAGCTTTTAGACTCATATCTGTGAGTGTGATGCAGATTACCAGCGATTCTCCATCACTTCTATCACCTTCACTATCTAGATTAAAACAGTCACAAACGAGGGGATTTTTTTCTTTCAATAAGCCTGTAAACCTGCATATTTAAATAAAATCCAGCCGAACACGTCATCCACTGATGTTTAGAAAATAAAAAAATCGAATGGCTAAAAAGTATCTACATGACATTCCCCCCCCAAAGCTTATGTGATGAGTGCATCAATGAACACATTGAGCAAAATGCTTTTGGCAAATGAAGAACATGGTGGAGGGCTTTTGAAGAAGGCGTAAAGTGAAGCTGTATCTTATAGCACTTTTCACATTTAGTGAAATCACATATACATCGCTGCGTGTGAATCCAGTATTAGAAGCTGAAGCGATGCTCTGATGACACTATCAAAGTCTACCGCTAAAACAGCCTCTTTTGTCATGCCCATGTTGTTGTTGTTTTGTTCTTTGCGAATATTATAACCAAGACGACAAGGGTTTGTTTTCTTACCCAATGAGAACAATAAAAAATGCTTCTTTTCCCTGTGCAATGGTTTTTCAAGGGCACAAGCAGCGCTCAGTTTATTAGGAAAATGAAACACTAACCAAGGACGCTGTAACATTGGTGCCGAATAATACTTCCAGATAAAAATGCTTTGAGAAAGCCCGAACACAATTTACAATTAACACTATAACAAGAGCCACACCTACTCATATCAACAAATTCACAATGCACACTCTTGTCCAAAAGGCTTTGCACATAGAATTAGCCGGTCAAGAAGAAATTGTGACCTTTTCAGTGTTGTGTTGTTGTGAACAGAAAGTATGTGTTGTATTCATTTGAAGAAACAGCACATTTTAAAACATCAAAACATCCAAAAAAAAAAAAACACTGAAAAATCTGTGTTTTTTTTCTTCCAACAACCACCCTAATATTAGAAAATAACATTTGACTTCTGTTTGAAAAAAAAAAAAGATTAAAAAATACAGAATTAAATAATTTGGAGTAAAAAGGCACGACTCTTGCACAGTGTATACATTGAAAACATAGTATAAAGCAGGTATGGGACCATCTTAAAAAATAGACCTGGGGTGGGGGAATGGGGAGTTTAGGGCAAGAAAAAAAAGAAAAGAAAAAAAAAATATGACCAAGCATGGAATATACACCATCTCTGGGCTAAACCAGACTGAACACTAAAAATAATGCAACATGCATTTTTTTTCTCTTTTTTCTTTCTTTTTTAGACAGTACTTGTGTTGTAGGATTTTAACATTCTTCATTTATCAGAACACTTTTACCAAATCACACACAGAGTGGTGCTTTAAAATTCTGGTGGATTAAAATTCTATGTAAAAAATATGTGCAAGTGATCAAAAAGTCTAAACCAACATAGGATGAGGCGGCTTTTTCTTTGAATTAGAAAAGTTAAGGAACAAATGTTAATCTCTAAGTCATATTACCTGCTTCTAATTCAATGCCATTTATAAAAGTATTCTCCTCTGTTACAGGTATTATGTTTCCCTTGTAAATACCACTGCTGAACCAACAGGATTCCGTGAACATTTTGGTTCCATTCGTAATGTGCAAAATATACAACGTTTCATCTATGTTGCTGCCAATTTGAACGTTCAAAAGAATTTCTAACAAAACTCACAAGACATATACACAATAAAAAAAAAAAAGAAACGATGTTTAAAAAAAAAAAAAAAAAAAAATACACAAAGCACCCCTTCCCCAAACCTCCATGGAATACTGAAACACAACACAAAATGGTGTGTCCTGGTACGATGCAAGAGGTAAACTATGTTTTGTCTGCTGAGAACAAGCGTATGCGTGAGAACACGTGAAACTGCAAGGCTGCGTTGAACAGTGCCTCATAGTGCTATCGTTGCAGCTCGTAACAGACCGAGTGATCCTAATAAAAAGTGCAACAGTTTAAGGTGCTGATGGCAACTGAATCACTAATGTAACAGAATTCACTGATGACTGAAGAGAAACCACTGATCCTGCTGCCTCAGTGTCTTCATTCTCCCTCCTGTCAAGTTGCTGCAAAACGAAAAAAACAAAAAACAAACAAAATACAAACAAACAAAAAACAAATACCTACCAGAACCTCCGCCTCCATTTCAAACGCGTTTGCCTCAGAACACTGAAGGAACATGCAAAACAGTCAGATTCATCTGTCTGTCCACACAAGGCAATTGGGGGGGCGATGGGTCCTCCTTTTGTAAATGGCTCAAAGAGCGTTTCTTGTTAGTCTGTCCAGAGCAGGAAGAGGACTGCGAGTAAGGAGAGTTAGTGAGCGGGGTGCCGTGGCGTGGGGTCAAGTGCTTCAGGTGCCTCTCTGCGAAGCTGTTGACCTCAGAACGGGCAGTCGAGGGCTGCGTGATGTGAGTTCGGGGAGGGATGTGATAAAATGAGAAGTTCTGTTTTGGCCTCCTTATCCAGAGACATAATTCTACTAACTGAGCCACAGAACATCACATGCGCTCCCTTTCCTCTCTCCGTCCTCTTCCACTTTAAAAGGCAAGAAAAGTATCAAACGGAACAAACAAGAAAAAGGGGCATGCATAAGAAAGCAGTAAAAAGCCCTATCCCCCCAAAAAAGGTGTAACTGTTGTCCTTTTCCATCACTCTCATGGTCCCACAAAAACAAAGAACGAATAGATGAAAATCAAAATGTAAACGAATGGTGGTTGTAGCTGCTGTAGGGGTGCCCCCCTGTGGCAGAGCAGGCGAGTGAGTGAACTACACCCCTCCGCTGGCGTCCCTCTTCATCCCTGTGGACTCAACTCAGCTGCCTCGGACTAGGGCAGAATGGTAGTGATGAAATCATAGAATCTCTTCGAGTACTGCTCTGGGTTCACGGTGGAAATCTCTGCCCCAGCCTTCGACAAAAAAACAAAACAAAAAAAGCAGGAGGTTGATGCCTTGATAAAAGTTATAAAGGTTTCAGTCATGCATGCATGACGAAGGAGATGACAGAGAAATACCCCAAATAATCCTCTGTAAAGTACCTTTGGTACATGTTAAAAAAGTATTTTTTGGTTAATGATGTTACTTACAATGTAAAAATGTTTGCAATTTTTTAAAGAAAAAGTAAAAACCTGTTATTTGGTTATGTTACCTTACCGTACACATAGAACAATTGTACATGGTTTAACATCACATCATATATCATTTTACTCTTAAAGACTGTCAAATGTATGGTTTGAAGACGTAAAAACTAAGAATTGTCTTTATTTATGGTAAAAAAACCCCACAAAACTGTAAAATGACATTCCCAAAAGTCCCTGCGTGACATCTTATTTGACTAAAATATATATTTAACATAAATATATTTTGTTTATTCTTATTTTTGTTATTGGTAATGTACATCAGGGTGTTTTTGTTATTTATGTTAACATTATATTTACATTACATAACATTAACAATAAATAACATTTGTTATTCTGCTATTTAGTGAATGTTTATTGCATTATTTAAGTGTCATATTTTACCCTGTTGGTGTTTTGTGTTTGTGACCCTGACTGTGCAACGTCTATGTACAAATATTGGCCATGAATTCTGAATCATTACTCGATTTTACCACCTGTATCATTACGCTGGTTATCAGTACATTTTAAGGTAAAAGGCAGATTTTGGTACTTCAAGTAACTTGGTATATTAATATTATAACTTAATGAAATGCACAGTTATAAGTTGTAAAATATTCAGCCACCAACATGGCATCCCATAATACCAGAAACATTGTCAATGTTGTTTTACAGTTTCTAGCTGCCGCTTTTTTAACATACATTTTTAACATGAATTTTTTATAGTGATATAACTCTACATATTAATAAAATGACACTTAAAATGTTATAAAATAAATAAATAAATTTTTTTTTTTTTTAAAGCACTCACCCCATGCTTTACTGTCTTGGCTGCATGAGCAGCCTTTTTCTTGGCATCATAATGCTGCAGGATGTCAATAACAGCCATAAAATACACCTCCTTTCTGGGAGAATCTGGGGGAAAAAAGGTTTGCAATACATTTTCATAATGTGACATAGTACAGAAAAAAGTAGGATGGGTCTTAGCTTATCAATCATGAATTGATTTGATTGTGAATGGTGGCCGTTACATACCAGCATGGAGACAGAACAGAATGTTTGACTATTAATATTATTTTCACCACCTGCCTAAAAACTTAGAAGACTTTTATTTTAAGAATATCATGTAGGGCTGGGCGATAAAACGATAACGATATGTATCGCGATAGACACGTGAACGATATCAATAAAAAATGTGTTCGATAAAACGTTCGATATTTTTTTTTTTTTTCCTTCGTCGGAAGAAACCACAGGTTGCGAAGCAAGTTTGGTTGCATTAACAAAGGCACTCGCTCTCTGGTAACCTAGCAACGTAGGGAGTGACAAGCTCAGGCAATCATGTAACGTGTCAGTTTGGATGCGCCATAGACATATTTATTATGTCTATGGGTTGCGCCATCAAAAAAAAGAAAAAAAGTTTGGTTGCGCCATCGTTGTCTCGTGCTGCTGGTTCCTCATCAGTAACCGGCGATTGATAAGCAGAAAATGAGTGCCCTTCATCTGCATGCCATGCAGGCTAGAATTGCGAAACATTATTGGATAATTCGCTCTATTCGCGTTTGATGTGAACACAGCATAATGAACAGGCTGCGATGTCAAGATTGCAATGCTGGAGTGTGTGTGTGTGTGTGTGTGTCCACGCGCGCGAGAGAGAGAAGCACGAGAGAGAGAGACACGCGGGCGCGATCGAACAGTGGAGACATAAAAACATACTCCGTCATTTTGTTAATACAGGACATCAGTCAGTCTGCAAAGTGTTTACAATATTTGTGTAGGCCTATACTCGCAATAAAACACAACATTGTCCTTTTGTCACACTGTATTTCTTGTCAAACTGTAGCCTACAACTGTACACACCGTTTTAAAAGCAAAACATATTTATCCAACCCCTTTGTAAAACAGTCTGTGTGTTCCATCTTTTGAACATTCATCATTTCGCATTGGTTTTCATTTCTTGCCCTCAAAACAGAGCACTAATCTGTTTATTTTTAAGTTACACATTGATTAAAAAAGAAAATTAAATTTGTTGGAAGTATTATTTTATACGGAAATCAATTATTTATAATTCTGATGAGAATAAAGTTAGGGTTAATTAAAATTAAGGAAAACAAATATATTGATCTGAAATATAGCAAATTAATTTTAAATTCATTCAGGTACAATTACCAAACATATCTCATATCTATCTTTTTATTAGTTTAATTAATAAACCAATTATATAAAACTATTATCAGTGCACTATAAATAAACTGGTTCTATGCCTTTATTAATAAAACTTATTTTAAAAAATACAAGGCTTAAGACATTTATAAAAATGCCTTCTATATTTCTGTTTTGCTTTTCACTCCATTGTACCGAAATCGTACCGAACCGTGATGTCTAAAAAAAAAAATCAAGCAGGGGGCACGTACGATCACAAACCCCCACCACCCACGTCCCGCCGCGCCACTGTCACCTTTTTTACTCTGAGGAGTTTGCAGGTCTGATTGTGAATTTAGACTTATGTTTACATTTTAATTATTTGAGTTTTCCATGGTTGTGTTGACATTTCTGTCTTGGGATTGTAATCAGAGGAAGGTTAAGTTTAAAATAAAAATGTTTAAATGTAATATATTTTTTCTCCTGGTCCTTATTTTAAATGGGTCATAAAAAAATCAATAATTATCGATATCGACCGATATGAAACACTGATATCGTGATACAGTTTTCAGCCATATCGCCCAGCCCTAATATCATGCATGGATGAAGCGTTCACAATAACCACAGGAACATGCATTCAAAAAAGGGTAATAGGGCCAATTTTGATTTCATTCTACTTTAAGGTTCTCATATAAACACAATTAAATGATTTGGTATAAAGCATATGTCCAATAAAGCAATAAGCCCCGTGAAGCCATAGTCTACAGTGAATTTAGAACAGCTGAAAGAGATTGTTAGGTACAACACAGCATTCTCTTAGCTGTTCTAAATTCACGGTAGACACGGGGCTTATTGCTTTTATAAAACGGTTAGTCCATAAAAATATTTTTTTTAATGAGGTCACAGGTGTATGTTTGTAGAGTAATTTACAATGGTTTCGAATGCTGCTCTAACTATTTATCATATACAGTGGAATATCTTCACAGGACCCATTTCAAACTTTCTTCACTCACTGTCATGGCTTTTGATGGCATAGACGTCAATACTGGGGTCGAAGTCTCCCGGTGAGAGTGGTTTAGAGCTGTCTAGGGTGTTACTGGGACTGTCAGGAGGCGTCCCAACAATCCCTCCATCACTCTCTCCTTCCTCATCTCCCTCATTATCCTCACTTTCCACCTCCTCTTGTTCTGCCCTCTCCACGTCATGGATCCCAACCAGAAGACTGTAGTCCATCAACTTCAGCAAGGCAAGGAACTAGACAGAGATGTGACGGAAGAATAAAGACAACAGATTGATAGTAGAAGGAGAGAGGAAGTACACAAGATAAATACATCATTGTGCCCGTACCAGGCAGACAGAGTGAAAAAGCTAATTCTTCTAAATCATTTACCTCCACATCCTTTCGAAGCTTATCGAGGAAGATTTTCTTACTTTCCTCGTCAATGTATATTTTCTGTCCATCATTGATGAAGTCATTGTCTTTGTACGTAGGGAGTTCTTTAGCCTGGTAGAAAAGTGAGAAACAACATTTAGTGTGCTAAAGATGCTCACTTACACGTATAGACAGTTTTAAGAACATCATAAGAGATTCATCATTAACATTCAAATAAATTCAGATCCTGATACCCTGGTCATGTCATGTAATATCATGCAGCACACCAGGGGGTGCTCTAGATTCACAATAAAGAGGCTGTTTGGCGCGTACAGCTGCATGTAGTGTCAAGGGACCCTCATATGAACAAATGAGGCAGCAGTCTAACAGTTTGGCTGATTTAGCTGATCTACATTTGTGCTTAGAGATATTCAGAATGGCCTAAGAAAGAAATGTGCTTTTAAACCGAGTTAAGATGTATGTAGCTACAATGCATTGACATTAATGTAGACCCGCCAACACCAAAATCAGCTACGACTCAATATGACTCAGCTGTAAGTAATTATTACTCACTACTACTTAATAATTAAGTAATAACTTTTTATGGCTTGTTCGAACTAATGAAAATGAATGCGGGCGAGAATATGTCCTCCGGGGTGATTAAACCTCCAGAATGAACACACTCCAGCAATTCTCTGTAATTAGCTCATTTGGTAGCCTTGCTCCAGACTCCAGTAAATACCATATTAATGGACTTTAACAGCCTCTACCGTTTGCAGATTTCCCAACTTTTAAAAGCAAACATACACCTATCAAACTGTTGTGAAATCTAGGTAAATCATTGATAGTTGAAGTGTGCCCTGCTGGTGGGTTGCAGAACATTAGGAAAGGTTGAGGAAAGCACTTTGAACAGGACAACAATATAAGTGCACACTAAAAGTGAACAGACATTAGGGCACTGATGAAATAGTTTGCATTCATTACAGATTTATACACGTCCCCAATCTTATTGTGTAAGATTCATCTGTATATGTTATTCCAAAGACATACAATTTTTTGGTCTCTAAGCCCTTATTTTTCAACCTCTACCTTCCAAACATTTTTTTATATAATATTTAACCTGCTGCAGGACTGAATCGCACAGTATATGGCACAGCATAGTTCATTTGTTTGTTTCTTAATGCCATACCAGCTTCTATGGTTATTTTCATGGTGGAAAAAAACCCTAAAGACAAAACCTATTCTAGGTCGACTGCCAGCATACCATGGCTTGAGACGAGAACTCGAAACCAGAGAGAGAGCATCTGATGTGCGATTAGGGAGAAATGGCTCTGGCTTGTTTTACGAGTGTGTTTGACTTTACTTTTACGTGGAAAAAAAAAGTATTTATGGCCAGTAAACTTCACAAAAGTATATCAATGATTCAAGTCATTGTGTGAATAATAAAATTATGCATTGAAGCAAAACCAGAACATAGAAATATTTGTCTTTGCAAATATTTCTGAGAAAGTTACTTTAAAGTCCACATTTGCACCGACATGTACAGGCGCAATTTAAAAAAAAAAGAGAGGCTGTTCTCGGAAAACAGAGCGTGTGAAGAAAATCAACCTTTCTTTCTACTACTCTTCATGACTTGGCCAGGCAACAAGCAGCTTAATGGCTGCTAAAACAGTGAGTCCTCTGAGAAGGGGGTGAAGCCTTATATCCTATAGCCTATATGTGGGACACAGGGCTGACAGTGACGGCCAGTATCCCTATTAAGCAGTGACCTTAAATTGGCACAGTTTCAAGAGTCATGTGTAAAGCTGCCTTTGGCCTGTAATAGAACAGCAGCAAGTTCAGCATTTATTCAAAGAGCCGAGAATAAATATGTAAGTACTGTATTCATAATCCATGTGGCAGATGAGAGACTGCAAAAAAAATAATTTCCTTAATCAGCATTTTGGTCTTGTTTTTCTAATGTAAATACCTAAACATTTCTAACAGCCAGATAATTGACTTGAGATGCAAAACTGTGTGTAATGACTATAAGACTAGTTTTTAGAATATATATTATTAGAACATATTATAATTCCATTTAATATTTAGATTATATATATATATAATTATATATAATTTGCAATATGTAAGAACAAAGATATTTTCTCTGAAATCAAGGCTCTTTTGCTTCGTCTTGTTTTAGATAAAGATGCTGATTCTCCTTATTTAAAATCTGGCTATTAAAAATTAAATTGTTAAAAAAATTACATTTGTTTAATACAAAGACACATGAAATTACAAGGATCAATGGCTAACTATTAACATATTTCTTCTTTGTTAAGTTCTAGTACCTTATGATGACTAAGACAGAAACAGTCTGTCATTAATTGATCCTTTTTATTTACATTCGCAGTGTTGATGCCACTGCAGCTTACAGCCTCTTGGTTTAATCTCCATAGCTTAAAAAAGCACCATGGACTTTGCTTCACCTTGACACACTAAGTATAGGATAGAACTACATCTGCGCACCCGATAATCACACAGACGCTCTAAAATCAGCACGCCTCACTCTTATACTCACTCTCTGCTTCGCAGTAAATTAAGCTGCTCGAAGTAACAAATGATTAGCCACTACAGAATGAACCATCTTTAACAAACCCACAAACAACAAAGAGTCTTGACATCCAATATACTCTGAACACAGAAAACTACTCTTGACTGACACAGGAAAGCTATATACTTATAATATATATATATATACACACACACTCACCTAAAGGATTATTAGGAACACCATACTAATACTGTGTTTGACCCCCTTTCGCCTTCAGAACTGCCTTAATTCTATGTGGCATTGATTCAACAAGGTGCTGAAAGCATTCTTTAGAAATGTTGGCCCATATTGATAGGATAGCATCTTGCAGTTGATGGAGATTTGTGGGATGCACATCCAGGGCACGAAGCTCCCGTTCCACCACATCCCAAAGATGCTCTATTGGGTTGAGATCTGGTGACTGTGGGGGCCATTTTAGTACAGTGAACTCATTGTCATGTTCAAGAAACCAATTTGAAATGATTCGAGCTTTGTGACATGGTGCATTATGGACATGGTCCATGGTCAGAAACAATGCTCAGGTAGGCCGTGGCATTTAAACGATGCCCAATTGGCACTAAGGGGCCTAAAGTGTGCCAAGAAAACATCCCCCACACCATTACACCACCACCACCAGCCTGCACAGTGGTAACAAGGCATGATGGATCCATGTTCTCATTCTGTTTACGCCAAATTCTGACTCTACCATCTGAATGTCTCAACAGAAATCGAGACTCATCAGACCAGGCAACATTTTTCCAGTCTTCAACTGTCCAATTTTGGCTTCACAAATGCTTTGCTGCATACCTCGGTTGTAACGAGTGGTTATTTCAGTCAAAGTTGCTGTTCTATCAGCTTGAATCAGTCGGCCCATTCTCCTCTGACCTCTAGCATCAACAAGGCATTTTCGCCCACAGGACTGCCGCATACTGGATGTTTTTCCCTTTTCACACCATTCTTTGTAAACCCTAGAAATGGTTGTGCGTGAAAATCCCAGTAACTGAGCAGATTGTGAAATACTCAGACCGGCCCGTCTGGCACCAACAACCATGCCACGCTCAAAATTGCTTAAATCACCTTTCTTTCCCATTCTGACATTCAGTTTGGAGTTCAGGAGATTGTCTTGACCAGGACCACACCCCTAAATGCATTGAAGCAACTGCCATGTGATTGGCTGATTAGATAATTGCATTAATGAGAAATTGAACAGGTGTTCCTAATAATCCTTTAGGTGAGTGTATATGCAATAAATTTATTTTATATATATACAGTATATAAAGGAAAACGTATTGCTTTCCCTTCAGAATTTAGTTCGAGTTTGAGGGTGAAACTGACCTTTTCTTTGTCACTTGCCTCTCTGGCAACGGTAGATCCCTACATAGAAGAAAAATGTAAACATGTCAAACCATATAATCATCATCTGGCTTGACTTTGCCACTCATTTTTCATAATCCTTACCTTCAGGTCATATTTCTTATACACAGACAACCGATGGCTGAATACGTTGCGTGTGACAATCATATAAGTCTCGTCTCCATCTACAGTGAGGCGGTACATGCCTAAGAACTGTGGCAGCAGTGTGGTACCATGAAATTCCACGATATACTGCAGCGAGAAAAGAACTTATAACCATCTGGCTCATTATAAATCTGCATGTAAATTTAAAAATTATTGGTAAAACATCAATCAAATGTATATAGCACTTGTATAGGGAATTTATGAGCTTTTGTGTTCTCACCTGGTGGTACTTCTTGAGAATGTTGTGCATCTCAGCTACGTCCTCGCTGCTTATGGTCTTGATGACGTACCTCTTGTCGTAGGAGGTGTGGAAGCGAGCACCACTACGACCCTGAGCTTCACTGACAAGGGGCGCGCTACGGGTCAAAGAGTTCTGCCAACACATAGAAAAGAGGAAGATGTCTTGGCATAGACAAACACAAAAATGGATGCAACTGACAGGTCTTGCACTCATTTATACATGAAGTAAGATCTAAACATCATCACACTGAATTAGAAATGAATGGTAATTTAAAAAGCAGAAAAGTTGAAACAGACAATTTCTCTTACCATCTTTAACAAGCATCTGTTCAACTTTGCATTTATTTACACATTTTCTTTAAGCACACTTTGGCAACCACAAATGTTTATTAGCAACTGATTAACACCATAAAATTGTGGATCTAAAAAGCAGTATTTTTTTCCCCTTTTCCACACAATCTGGCCCTGTTACACATTACAGTTCTGAGCCAGAAAAATCAGCTGTACAGCACACACCTGCTTGTTTCGATCCAGGAACCAATAATGTCATTATCCAGAATGCAAGATGATGTAATTACCATAAAAGTTTGCATTTTTTCCAGGAGTCTTCAATGAATAGAAACTTCAAAAGAACAGCATTTACAGTATTTGAATTTATTATTACAGTATTTTTATTACTTTATTGCAGTATTTTTTTGTAACAATGTTAAAGTCTTTACTGTCACTTTTGATCAAATTAAATGAATCCTTGCTGAATAAATGTATTCATTTCTTACATTTGTTTTAATAATACATACTCAAAAATAAGAATATGCACAGTAGGGCTGCACAATGTATCGTTTTAGCACCGATATCACGATGTACGCATCCGCGATGGTCACATCGCAGGATGTGCAATGTAGTATAGGGTTCGTAGTTGATCCGTGATCCGTACGGCTGGCTCGGAACGCATGCGATTCGCAGATTAATTGCAAAGTTTAACCATCATAGAGTGACAGTTTATCATTTGCATGTGTTATTAAGTCCTGTCAGTTTAAACATCAAATGCAAGAAGAATGGAACTCGCACACAGAGCCACGCAGACAGCAAGGGAAGTTTGTGAACACCGAATTCCCTTCCCTTTCTTATCTATTTGTGCTTGAACGGACATGTGCACGGAAAATTAAGTCAAAATGCCCGTCTCGACGAGTTGTAAACAAAGAAAGAAAACGGATGTTTGTCATTACGGTATTGGATACGTGCATTCTATTGAATACTGTTTGTGTCACCAAAGTTAATCAAACAACAAAAGAGAAAATTACTTTTGTAGCTTTAACAAAGATAAACTGTATTAATTATATGAATCATATTTAATTTATACAGCGAAGACTATGCAGTGTTATTTTACATTTGATTATACAATGTCTGTACCTGAATAGTTAATTTACCTTAAAAAACAAAGCACTGCTTATTTCATCAGTGTCTTTTTTCTATTGTATTCAGATGCTTGTAATTTGTTTATTATTTTCTATGCAGAATGCAGATGCACTACCCTAAATAATAACCCCAATCATCCTAGAACGATTAATTCTTTACAAATAGAGCTATTCAAATAATCAGGTGAAATTGTTTTCATATCGCAGAAAAACTAAATATCGCAATGACAGTTTTTTTCCAATATCGTGGCGCCCTAATGCACAGCCAAAAATAAGCCTGTGATGCTGAGTTTAAGTTTAAGTAGTTTAAGTAGTAAGTTTAAGTAGTAAGTCAGTTATGTCATGCCGAAAGTTCTGAAGTTCAAGTTCTGAATGAGGTTGACAGAACTCACCACTGAGCATTGGATCTCGTGGAAAAAGGGTATGAGAGTTTTACTGTAATCGCCCTGCCCACCAACACATGACCACTTAGATGTAGACACTAAGACAGCTATTTTTCAACTGCCCCTGTGTCTGTACCAATTTCAGGAAAAAAGCTCATTGTGGACACAAAGCACATGAAAAGACCGGAGGGTCTCTTCTCAATGAGGGCGAGTGACGGGTACAGCTGCACTGAGCAGCTCTACGTACATTTCCAAGGTCTGCTACCTCAAACATGTAACATACACACCAACACATATTTCTATCGCCTCTTTGATGCGTCTCTGTACCTCAAATCTATGTGGTTGGATTTCCTCATGGATACCCTCACCATATTCACCAAGTATACTCATTATACACAAAACCAAAAGCAGGATATGAGATTTTGAAAGGCTTCCCAGGCTGAGTCATGCGGGTTAGGGCCTGTAGCTGTTCAGCTGATGGCTCATTCTGCAGGGAAGTGGTGCACAGATGGGCTGAAAATAGTGATGATGAGGCAGGTAGCTGTCAGAGGACGTATAGGGCGGACTGAAAAAAACACACAGCTAGGAAATCATAGCGGGATTATGCTAGATCTGTATTACAAAACAGCTGTTATCATGCAGGTAGTTTCGCATAGCCAGACTCTTGACTTGCGGCATAACGTCTGGTCCCAAGTACCGCCCACTTATGACCAACATGAAAAGCTGTCCTAAACTAGCCTAATTATATAGGGTGGTTCTCAAACGTTTTGATTCCAAGACCTCACATTGTCCACAATAATATTTCAAGGGACCATGACTCTTCCAGTCGTTCTTGATTTACTGGATAAATTTTTTTTTTTAGATTAGACTAAACATTAGTGTATTCATAATAAAAATGCTCATAGATTTTATTCATTTACATTGTCAGAGCTAGAAAATACATTTTTAAAATGACGCTACCTCATATATCCAGGTTTTTCAAGCAACAGTTGACGAGGGCGGAATTTAAACTAAGAAATATCTTGATTTGTAGTTGTTTTGGCTTATTTCAATGGATATTTTGTCTGGTTTTAAGTTATTTTAACTCATCTTGAGAACCACTGTTATCGGTGTCCTTAAAATTGATTAGCTGATTTTGAAAATATGTAGTTGTATGAACACATTTTTAAATTTGCTAAATGTTGTGCTTGTCTTAGTGCAATAAAGGTTTCATTCATCTCTGATGTATAACATAGGAAGCCTAAACTACAGTAAACTTCCAGTAAACAGCTCGTACTGAACGTCTCTAATCAAGATCATAAAATAAGCACATTCTGGGAAGCTGATGTTTTTTTTGTATGTGTCAGGGTTACAGTCATAATGTAATGCCTTTTAAACCCACACAGGCAGACAGGGAGCTCTAACCAAGACCCTGAGCTCTAACTGATTACAGTGAAACGCAAAGGCATATCTTCCTCATTAGCCAAAATTAGAAATGTTGAGAAAAGCCCTTCTACCTAATGCACACTGATTGCGACTATTCTTGCTAAAAAAGGTATGTTCTTCTATGAAAGGGATATAGGGAAAGGGATATGAAGGCAATTAAGAACATTTGAACGTGGGAGGCTGGAGGATGCAAGGGCAGCTCTGACATTGCTGTGTTATTATGGGGAATAATGGTCTTCATTACGACAGCAAATCGAGTGGTTAATGACTAAATTACTTCTTGGTAATTATGGGCTTTTCTCACAGAGACCTCAATCTATTTGGCATTGTTTAGTAGGGAGTACATTGGTGTTTTGCAGTATTACGCTGTGGTTTTAAGACACTGAACGTGACACCTTGGATCATTTCTCTCTTTCACAAAGCTTACCTGGAAGTCCTGGTCATCGATGTTGAACCTCTCTCTCAAATTACGGAAAACAAGAGGGCAGTACTCCTTGAATTTAAAATGGCTTGGCATATTCTCTCTGAAAAGCAAAGCAGCAAAGAGATAAAAGTGAATACACATCTCTAGAGTTGGCTGGGTCAATCTCACAAAGAAAAGTCAGTCATTTGTATATTTACAATGAAACGGACGTTACGAGTCTTCTCTAGAGTGACGAACATCAGAGTGAAACGAAAGAAGAAAAAAATGCTGGGATATTTTGTCAATTGGGAACTGAGTGCTGCAACGATGACATATTTTTGTAGGCAAACCCAGAAGTTAGCATCACACTGGTTCTCTCGACAAAAAAACCCAATATGATTTTTCCATAAACTTTTGAATTGTCGCAAAAAATACGCTCTGTGATCAACAAAAGTTTATGGTACTTGCACGTTTTGGCCATTAAAGTAATTTTCACAAATTAACAACTTTTATGAATTTTGAAGCCTAAATACAATTGCCAGAATTAAAAAAGTTAACCTTAGGCTATAAATGAACTACACCACGGTCGCTCGACTTCAACATACATCACCACCACCACCAAGCTTCTCCCAAATATTTCAATCTTTATAGTAAAAAGCATTTTCTCTGAAAGTGTGAGTTAGAATAGTTAGGAAGAGTGCGATTATAAACACAACAAGGCTGTGAAAGCAGACTAATGCGTAGATTAGTTTACCTGTTCCGTGTGATGGCGTTTAATGTCCCTGACAACGTGATTTAGCAACTGCCTTTTTTAAGACACGTAAAAGCTTGTGTTCACCAGAGACCACCTTATTTCAGGCTTTTAACCAAAATTAAACCATAAAAAAAACATCATCCCTGCAGCACTCTATTGATTGGATCTTTGTGGGTTGCTACTGCTGTGATCTTATGTGAGTGACAGGTTGTCCCACCCTCACACCAGTAAACACGTCGTTGTAAGAGGGAGAGGAAGAATTTTTTGATTAAAGAATACGAGAGCATGTGAATTAAAAAAAATAATAATAATCATGATGTGCACGTATAAGTCATTTATAATAAATACTGCAATATTACATTAATCCATTGATTTTTATGGTGACTACTATATATTATACCATTACAGTACAAAGAATTTTTCTTATGATATATGATTCAGACATGTTCTTTCATGAGATTCACCAACCTTTTATAACACATGATTAAAAGTTGGATCATAGCAATTGAGAATGGGGAACAGTGAAAAGTTTGAGAGGAACTCACTTGTTGAAAAGGTGGTTGTCCACTTTAATCTTAGAGTAGGCTTTGAAGTCATCAGGCATAAGCATGATGGGGATCTGAACATGGCTCAACTCATTTATCTAGAGAGAAGGAGAGAGATTCAGTTACTGGTTACTTGTTCAGGGTTTGAGTCTTTAAATGGGAGTCAAATGTAGTGGTCACCCAATATGGGCAAGAAAACGTATGACCAATACCAATATCTTGAGAGTAGGGCAGCCTATACATATAATACAATTCAAAATAGGAGATGTAAAAAACTTATGAAAAAAAAAAAACTTATTTAAAATATTTTATGGAATATAACTATTTAATAATAATAAAAAATAACATAAAATCACAGACAAAGCTGGGTGTGGTTAACTGCAGATGCTGATGAAATAATGTGAAAATGGCCAAGTATCAGCTGATTAAACAGTCTGTTGGCTATCACTAAGCTACAAAATTCTACCATTTGAAAACTTGCTACAAGTCAGTTCACACGCATTTTTTTAGATTAACATAATTGACACTGAACCAATTAATGCACACAAACAGTAGGTGCTGAGATGTGCTGGGTACAGGAACGCATCAGTGTGAGTGATGTGTTCTGCTCATCAGAGGGCGATATCTCTGTGACACAATGCACTGTTTTGCTCTGCTCAGGATCTAAAACAATGTGCTACATTCAACAGTCATCAGTTCCTGCTTTGCACAGTTTGCTCTTGTGAAAACAACACTTGTAATAAAACTGTAATAACGGAAACTGCTGCATTGTGAGAAGTGGGAATTTAAAACTGCTGTGGACAGTTTTCATCCCAACAAAGAAATCTGGTGACTCATAGGTTCTTTCCCTCTATTAAGAAATAAATAAATAACAATAGCGCTAACTAAACTCAAGAGGACTGCAGAAGGCTTTAATTACTGTGATATATTTGTTTGTTTGAGGATGTGAATGCACTAGGATTATTATAAGCAGTCAAATAGGCACGAAGCACCATGGGAGATCAAAGATTAGCCTATGAATCTCGGCAGAAACGGACAATAATAAATATATATACTGTAAAAAAAAAAAAAAAAAACAGGGATACGCCGCTATTAAAATTCTGGTTGATAATTATTTTCATGTTAAGGCCAATAACCAATAAATGGCTGACATTAAATAGCTACTATTTTGATGATACTATTTTGTCTAAATAAATCAAATTAAAAATTAAATCAATCTGATTAAATTGGGCATTACAAAATCTTAACGTAAAGTATAAAAACAATTATATTTATTTTCAGATTTGCTAAAGATTATGTTCATGTTGGTTGATAATATATTGTGCATCCCTGTGAGTAATGTAGAAATATTTACAGGGTGCATGTAAATAAATCTATAAAAATAAAAGGTATAAATAAATAGAAATGAGAGAAAATGCAACCAAATTGTGTTATCTTCTGACATTTACAGAAGATGGCAGTCATTTAGGATCTCACATAGATCTAATCAGTAAGAAAAAGGCTTTTAATCAAGGCGTGAGTAACAGCTAATCGCTTCGTTTCCTCTTAAAATACATAGTAAAGCAACCAAAGGTCAAAGAAGTTGCATTTATGGGCTCGCTGCCTGTCAGTCAAACCATTTAACTGAGTTAAGGAGTGAGACAGGTTGTCTTCCAAAACAAGGAGATATTGCATCGACCCACTGTGATGTGACCTCTCAGAGAATGGAGAGCATTGAAGTCTCTAGAGACTTTCCTATTGGCTGGTTGAATGCCAGGCTTCTGGATTTAAAGGGTGTCTCAGAGCCAAATGCACTGTGGATAAGGAGTGCTACCTATAGAAGGTAGAATGTCTTTTCTTTTGAGCAAATGTGATTATACCTCATTTGTTCTGCATATCAATTTTGAAAAACCTCTTCATGAATGTCACACATTCAAGAGTCAATTATTTGGCTTTCCTTGGGAATATTTATCTTGTTTGTTATAACATAATAAAACTGCAATTTAAAACCTATACACTGATGTATAGCTAATTACCCTAGAATGATAAGAAAGCATTGATATGTAAAATAATAATATATATAAGTATAATGCGGTAATAACTAACATATTACCGCATGGACCTGCCATGTTAACGATTTTTTACTGCATAACTTTGCCAATTCCTGTGGAGTCTTTTTTTATGTAACTATTTAAAATTTGGATGACCAAGCCTAACTTTACAAAGTTTGTAAGTTAACAAACAAAGACTAACTTTAGTCGACTATTAGGGGGCAGCCCTACTATTTTGTCTAAATAAGATTATAAATAAACACTAAAAGCAATCATTTTAAATGCTACAAGTGAATTTAGGCATCAAATTATTTGTGTTTTTAAAGATTAACTTTAAGTAAGTATTAGATGGTGGCAAAGGTAACCTAAATAAAAATGTGTCAAATGATCATGCACGAGTGTCTGAAAACACGTGGAAAACGCTGCCCGCGCCACTTTCTCCTCTTTTCAAAAGCACTGCCGTTGCTAAGCAATCATGAGCCGGGTTCTCCATGAAGACGAAGAAGTTTCAGCAAAGGATAAATGGTGTAGACGCGCCTGGGAAAAACACGAGCACGCTTGTCGCACCTTAAAATGCCAAACTTGAGCGCGCAAAAGTCGTGACATGTGAACAGCCCCTTAGGTATCTAGGCATTTAGACCTGCAAAGTGTCACATTACATGCAAACTTAAATAACAGTGACTGACAGACTATATTCTAATGTTTTTTCCTTTATTTCTGTCAAAAAGGACATGAGTGGGGTTCCAAGGGGAAACCTATGGGTCAATCCGAGCAGGCTTTGGGTTACTGAAAACCTTTACAAGAATGCAAATTGCGAAAGGAAGTCAGGCATTTTAAACAAGGTCACTTGAAACCCTTTAAAACGCCTCTCTCCTGACATAAGCAAGTGTAAAGAGGCTGTAATGCATGCTGTGGTTACTGCTTAGTGAGTTAGGCTCATCTTTCACGCTGTGGTCAGAAATTAGGCTATGCTAAAGCCCTAGGTAAGAAGAGCACATTTAGGAAGAAATTAGGTAGATTACAACAAAAATGATTCATTTATGGACTGTAAATATGATGAATATTTTTTTATGTGGTCAAGGAAATTAAATGTCACATGAGGAAGCGAAAACTATGAACACAGGAAGCCAATTTCATAAATGTTTATGCCCACTCATCACTAAAACAGAAACTAATTTTTCTTTAGATTGTGCTGACACAAACCATTCATCCTTTTAATAGAATAGATGGGCTGTCTGAACAAAAGAAACATAACTGCTCCTCCGCCAGGCTGTTGTACACACTATTTATCAAAGATCAAGAGAGCTACAGGCAGAGAGCTGCTGAAGACGGCATGAGTGCCAAGAGAACATGACACTAAATCACCCACAAACCAAAAGAGTGCTAACCAAAAGCAAAGGAGATGAAAATCTCCGTCTCTTAACACCTTTTACTGACGATATTTTGTTCTAAACAGAATGTAAAATGCAGCGGCATAGTGACAGTAAAGCCAATGTCTTTTTTTCCCGCAGGATGGGATTAATGCGGTGTTTATTTAAAATGCAATTAAAGCTAAGCGGTGTTGTGAGGGGTTAAGAGGCAACAGGCGCTTGCAGAAACATGTGCGAGCAGGATGAGGTATGAGCGGTGCTTTCTAGAGGACTAAGCCTGTCTACTGGCAATGGTGAAGCAACAGCGAGCGGAAAACATCTCTGTGACCCCACGTCAGCTACAGTAGGGGGCCTTCTCAGTCACTCTCAGCAGCTACAGCCTATTTTGGAGACAAAACCTAGGACTCTATATACCATATGGACAAATAAGGAACTGTATATGTTACTCTTTGTGAAACAGTAGCCTATATCCGACACCTGGGTCTGTGCATAACAATGATAGGCAAAAATGACACTGAAAGATAAATCATCTCTAAATGAATTCCTCGGTTTACAATGAAATTTAGAACATTACAAATGTAAACGCAAGTTTAAGTAAAGGGATAGTTGGTTCACCCAAAACTGAAAACTCATTTACTCAACATCAAGTTGTTCCAAAGCCGTATGCATTTATTTTTCTTCTGCTAAACACAAAAGAAGATATTTTGAAAAATGTCGGTCACCAAACAGTTGATGGGACCCCATGGACTTTCATACAATTTTTTCCGTATGGAAGTCAATGGGGTCCATCAACTCTTTGGTTACCAACATTCTTCAAAATATCTTCTTTTGTGTACTAAAATTACTCAAATTAAACCTGAAATTAAAAATAAATGAAAGCAATATAAACATAAAAAAAGTTTTTACATTTTTTTTTTAAAATCACAGAAGCACATAACAAAATTACTCAAATTTAAACAAAAATATATTCAAATGAAATTTTTTATTAATAAACCATTATTAATAAATACCATAATAGTATAAATAATACTAAAATAACACTGCTGACAGTGATTTCAATGGTTATTTAAACAATACTTGTTCACCCAAAATGAAAACAAAAGAAGTTATTTAGAATCTCTCAGTTTGTATTTTGTCCACACAATGGAAGTCTATGGTAAGAAAAATGGTTTGGTTACCAACATTTTTGTGTTTCACAGAGGAAACTAAATTAATACAGTTTTGGAACAACATCAAGGTGAGAACATTTTAATTTTAGGCTGAACTATCCCTTTAACACGCAGTAAAGGGGTGGTCACTCAGTAGGTGGTCACACTACACTTTCGTTCCATTGACTTCTATTCATATGCATGAGAATGTGTCAGACCACAAATGCAAGCTTATGCGAAAAGTTTCATTCCGAAGTTCAAGTTTGGTGAACTCTGACCTTCGAATTAGAATCATGTGAAGACATGTGATTAGTAGAAGATTGATAGCCTACTTCATGGCATGTCCTCTTGCGGCTGAATTAAGAGAACGATAATTTTGCAGTAAAGGTTGAGTAGAATGTATATTTTTACATTTTGAATGTATTACTATTTGTTATATGTTGAATTCATGTTTATAAAAAAAAAGACACTGCAGAGCGTGACATCATATCACAACCGTTGCAGTGTTCAAAGAAATTTTGCATGCTCAAAGTCTTGTGTGACTGGCTTA